AACTATGTCCAAAGGTACGCCATTAGCTAGNTATNCCTTCCCATAATTNCCCGNAACATAATTCTCCATAATGTTGTGNTCTGGTGTGGTGTGGAATGAAGCTCCTGAATCAAGAACCCAAGAATCGATCGGACTATCAACATAGGAGATCGATGCTTTGGTGGTGTTTACGGCTGCAACGTGAGATTCACTTCCTCTTGGAGAATCAGCTGATACTAACAATGCATCAGCTATTACTGTATTGGCTCCAGCTTCTCTGTTATTTTCCTTCTTTGNTGGTGCCCAACAATTACTTTTGAAGTGGCCGGTCTTTCCACAGTTCCAACACTCAACAGGCTTTCTGAACTTGGATTGACCCCTTCCANTCCTTGACTTTCCTCTACCCTGATTNCGGTTTGTTCTGTCTCGACTTCTGCCTCTGTTCTCAACGTTGAAAGCAGAACTTGTTGAAGCTTCTCCTGTATCGATCCTTCGAACTTCCTCTCCAAGGATTCGATCTCGAACATCAGTGAATTTAAGCTTCTGATTACCAACAGAATTACTAACGGCTGCCCTCATGGGCTCCCAATATTCGGCAGAGATGCCAACAAAATCAACGCACGTACTTCATCATCAAACTCGATTTCAACCGATGACAGTTGGTTGACAATCGTGTTGAACTTATTCACGTGCGCTGCTACAAGACTACCATCTTCCATCTTCAATTGGTAGAGTTTCTTCATGAGAAATACCTTATTGTTGGCAGAAGGTTTCTCATACATATCCGAGAGAACTTTCATGAGTGCTTCTGTGGTCTTCTCCTTAGCAACGTTGTGAGCAACGTTTTTCGACAATGTTAATCTAATAACACCCAGAACTTGTCTGTCGAGAAGATCCCATTCTTCCTTATCCATCTTTTCAGGCTTCTCGCTCANTGGTTGATGGAGCTTCNTTCCGTACAGATAATCTTCAATTTGCATTCTCCAAAATGCATAATCTGTACCGTCAAATTTTCCGATACTATGTGCCGAACCATCTGCGCCTCCCATCATTTCTGATTTTTTTTGTGAACCACCGTGTATAAGAACACCACCGTCGACGAACCGATATCGTCGACAAGTTTTACTATTCACGTGAATAGTAAACTATCACCAAATTTGACGAAAAAATAACCCGAACGCTCTGATACCAGTTGTTAGGAAATAACGTCAAATTTCCGATAAATCAGATTTGTGGAAACGATAAAAACACACAATTTGTTAACGGAGTTCGGCCAATGTTGCCTACGTCTCCGGACCTGCTGCNGATCTTTTCTTATTAACCGGAAAATATTATCCGTCGTGAACAGTAACTCCGACGTGAACAGTAACACCGTTGTGAACAGTACTTCCGACATGAACAGTAACTCCGTCGTGAACAGTGATTCCGACGAAATTACAAAGCTCTCAACTCACTCACCCAAACCCAATTACACTCAAAGAGAACAACTCTCTTTCACAAAAAAAAATATTTTTTTCTCACTTTCTTTTTTTTCCACACTTCGTTTTGGATGTTGGGATGTTTTTTTTTGGGATGAATTATCATGAGTGAAGGCCACACGTATTTATAGCAGTTGTGGAGGAGTTGGTGAGACGTGACTTGTGAAGTTTTTCTTCACCAACCTCACCTCCTTTCACCTTTTCACCTAACATCCTTTCACCGTCCATGACTAACACTTATTCCTTTGACACAATGATGAGTTCATTGATAGGTCATGAGGATCGTCTTGGCAAGAAGACGAAAAAATCTGAAGAGAAGGCTTTCCAGATGAAGGGAGAGTACTCTGGTCAGAAGTACATCGGTGGTTTTGGATCTGGTCGAGGAAGAGGCAGATCTGGTGGTCACGCAGACCATGGTAGAGGCAGAGGACGAGGTTCTTCTGATAACTCAAGCAGTTCGAATCTGTCGTACAACAGAGGTACGAACAAGAGCAATATTCAGTGTCACTATTGCAAGAAAAATGGCCATATGCAGGCTGATTGTTGGAAGAAACAAAGAGAA